AACATGACTTTGCGTGTTTTGTGGGGGGCGCTTGCTACGTCATTACGTCCTTCAGTCAGACTGACCAATGAGCAGCCGAGAAGAGGTGACGTCACCCCCTCGCTGGGCCAATTAGGAGTGACGTGGCGTTTCTCGAGTGTGTACTGCACGCTACTCGCCGATCATTAGTCGAAAAGGCGTGACGTCAATACGCAGAACTAATCAAACCTGATGTTGCGGGGTTTTTTTTTTTCTTTTTTAGTGCTTACGGTTTGCCATGTGACTGCATCCTTCGGTCGGACAAACCAATCAGTAGTCGAAAAGGCGTGACGTCACTTTCGCTGGACCAATTAGGCGTGACGTTGCGCTTTTCGAGTGTGTAAAGCGCAATGTCACTACGTCCTTCTGTCAGACTAACGGCCAGTGCTTCCCAAACTCTTCTCCCCTATAACCCACATAAATACAACGAAAAAAATTCGGCAGAGACACTTAAGACTGCTTACGTGTAGGAATGCGAACGCATTCCTACACGCAGCGCATTCCTACCCCCAAGCAGCGCGCCCACGTCTTTCTTTTTCACACGGCGCTCCGGGGGTGACGTCACACTCCCCCACTGCGCAGGCGCGGTGAACCCGGCCGACTTCACGACGGTTTCCGTGACGAAGCATCTCCGTTGCTGTGCTTTTCTTTGTGTTTTATTTCTGAGGCGCGTCCGCTTTGACCTTGAGCGGCGCGCGCTTGATGGCGTATTATAATGGCCATCTTTCGGGGACAACGCCGCCGCCTTTTCGTGTAATGGGACAAATAAGGCTTTCGCCTTAAAAATAGCGGCGCGACCTCCTGGTGTTTCCTCAGTGCGCCGATCAGGCGCGATGTTGCGTTTTTCTCGAATCCGCGGTGCATCCCTGGCTTCGCGCTGGTCCACCTTCAACGACGCGCAGCAGTGGCGGCGGTGGACAGGGAGGAGCGAGACGCACTGTTCTCGGTCCGCTGGTTCGTCGACGGCTCGCGCAACGCTCGCGCCGTCGCTCCGTTGGCTTTGTGGAGGAGAGAGTCGGGAAGGGATGTCCATGTTGCATCGGCGGGTTCGCTGATCCATCGACCGCCTACATCGCAGTCGATGCGAGCGGGCTGAGTCGGCGGGACGGGGTTTGCGATGGAGACGGGAAAATGTTGTTGTCGGGCCGCGTGTTGATGCTGCCATCAGTTTGCCTCTTCGTCGTCTGTTTCCTTGTTGTTGTTGTTGTTTTCTTCTTTTAATGAAGTGTGTTGTTCGACTGTCGGGCTTTCGACATCGATGTTCCTTCTTCGTCTGGGTGCGTTTCGTAGTTATATTTTGAATGAACGTTAAACAAAAATGAATGCGGCGAAGCTGCTTTGTTTTGTTGTCTGGTGACTCACCCACTCGTCGGTTTTTGTTGACGAAAAACGAGCTCGAATTGGTCTAACGTCTTTTTTTTTTTTCTTCCTTTTTTTATGTGAAATATTGCATATTGATTTTGATTCGCCCTTGGTTGGGCTGCCCGTCATTGTGGAGAGTCCTGCGTTTTGATTATATATGCATATATCGGAAATGAAAATAAAAACTATATACATATACATTCATGACGTGGGATTTCAAAGCGTTGTTGGTGTTTTAAAGCATTTAGGAAGTCGTCGTTTTGGCTTGTACGTGTGATATATATATATATATATATATATATATATATATATATATATATATATATATATATATATATATATATATATATATATTCATTTTTTTGTTTTCATTTTCGATTATGCTGGCTTGAGAAATGGTAAAACTATTGTTACTACTAAATGAGCTGCGCTTTAACTATCGGCACTCCGTTCCCCGACATTGTTGTGGGTGCCGCCATCTTGGTGTTAGTGCAGATCAGACGCAACCGCCGATCGTTATATGATTCAAAAGTGCGACTTCCTCAGCATTATACCCGGTGTTAGGAAATTCAGATAATATTACTTTCCTCTTTCGCGAACTGTTTAAACATTTGTGGAGGGCGGAAAACTGTTTTCTGCGATTTCAGATAATGCTTCAGATAACTGGCAACCATGATTTTAAGCCACAATATGGCCAAGTGCCGTTACTCTGAAGCGTAGCTTATTTAATGGAAATAAGTAAAACAAAATAAAGCGCAGGTGACAGTTGTCACCTTGCCACGTCGTGGTACTCTCCAAAATGAAATGACGTAATGTCCGCTGCGAACTCGACCCTACGGCGCGCACACTTCTTTTACAGCGATGGCTGTTAGCGCCTCTTCCCACCACTGGAAATGACGTCCGTCGTTGACCTCGTGGTTTTAGTTGTTGTCGTTGATGTTGTAGTTGGCCTAGCAACTCCGTCGTCGATCTTGCCAAATCTTTTCGAACAGTCACCCGCCGCCTGCAGGAATCGAACCCGGGTCCGTTGCGTACAAGGTGTTACCTCAAAAATCTGCGCCACAGCATTTTTTTTTTAAATCTATTGTAGAGTGACACATTTTGTTTTATATACAAGCTTCAATTTTGTTTTTGTAGTACTTGACGCCCACTGGACGTGCTCTGTGGAGAAATTCGAACAAATAGCCCATAACAAAAATGGCGTCGTTGCACTGTCAGTGCCAAGAACTCGTGCGGGGAGACGCGCTTTCACGCGCTCCGGGACAAAAAAGAAACAAAAGCGTTGGGAACAAGATGCTCAGATGTCCATTTTGTTCCGAAGGCTTTTGTTCACTCACCCCACGCTGCGTGAACGCGACGGCGATGCCTGTTTATAGTTTAGATACCCGAGGGATAGAGCCGTGTGTAGAGAGAGTTTGGTCAATGGGAGGCGCGGGAAGAGCCAGAGCGTGTTCACCAAACTCGGAAAGAGGGCTTGACATGCTCTCTCGGCCAACCAGAAGCCTTAAAGAATCCCCTAGCGGTGGTAGCGAGAAACAGTTTTAATCATAGCTACTTGTTTTTAAATAAGCGCCTAAGTGTTAAATGTAGCAACCCTTCGTGGTTGAAAATAGGGTGCACGTGATGTTTCGATCATGATCGTGCAGAAAGATGTAAGAAACGAATGTGCCGTTCAACTCCGTTTTTGCTCGGACAGAGTGTGACCGCTCGGACGGCAGATTCCCGGCCCTCGGCGCCTGGCGTACAAATTATGTCGATCGTTTCGCTAGTCTCACTCTTCTACCATGATTTTGGATGACCGTGATTGAAACATGACGTGCACCATATTTTCAGTCACCGAGAGTTACTCCGACGCACTTATTAAGTTTGTTTCTCGCGACCACCGCCAGGGTATTATTTCCGGCTCCTGGTTGGCCATATTCGAATTTGTGAAGACGCCCAGCACGCCTTCGGTCAATGAATGGCCAAACTCTCCGTATATACGGCTCTGCTGAGGGATTGCTTTTACTTTTATTGTACCTCCCGACCTGCTTTGTCCTTCCTCGGGCCTAGCAGTATATTCGAACTAAATAAATATATCGCCCTTCTGACTTTTTTTTTTCGTGAGAGATGATTTTCGAATCCAACTGTCGAAACAACTGTAACGTGTCACTGGCTTGAAAACTGACGAACTGAAACTAGGTCTCCTATAAATCGATCGATCCTACCAGATAAAAAAAAAAAAAAAAAAAAAATCCTAACTTGATTCTCGCAAACAAGGCTTTCCCGTGTGGCTGTGTTCTCCGTGGCACTCCGAAGCCTCGCTGAGAAGCCGATCTCGCGCGAAATACGCCTTGGAATTGATCCCTTTTTTGAGAAGGCGAAGAGAAACAAAGGGATGGAAAAAGAAAGTATTGGGAAAGGGAACCTGTGGACGCCAGTTCATTTCGGGCGCTAAATCCGGAAGGAAATTGATTAGCCAGTCTCCATTCGCGGCTGGCAACCTTGTTACTCGATTTTTTTTTCCTCTTCTAAACTCTCAAACATTCTTTACAATTTTCCCACTTTATTTTGTCGTTCGCGCGCGCGGTTCTTTGCTTTGGTGATGGTTTTCTTTACTTTTTTTTTTTATATGAGAGTTTAATTGGCAGGCTATCTGGAAGAAAAATGAGAACGGCGAGTGCGCTTCTAAAACTTCGGAAGTTAATCTGTAAAGACGGGAAATTTCTTAACCCCCGCCGAGTTTAATGCATAACAGATAAGGACCCTCGAATGACTAATGCAATCGGCGTTGTACGTCGGTGCTTGGACATTGTTTTTCTAAGTTGTATACAGAATAGTTACTATTTTTTGTTCTAATTTGGGTAATTGAAAGACAAAAAAATATATATATATATATATATATATATATTTTTTTTTTTTTTTTTTGCCGTCAGTAGAGGTAATCAGGCAAAGGGACGAGAAATTCGAAGACGTCTTTACTTCTAAATTCTAGTAATTAAGATGCCACTTTTTTTCCTGACATTTATCCGCTTTAATTATAAAAATGAGTCTCGATATTTCGCAACCCCTCGTTTGGCATCGCTCAAGTAAAACGAGCAACAAATGTTTCCAGAACGAAAATATAAAATTAATGGTACTAATAATAGTCTTCTACTGCCCTGTACTATACCACGAAAGGATAAATATGAATCAACGTCAATAACCCACGTGGCTGTATATAAGCTTTAGAGTTTATTTTATCGTGTCGAGACTGGTTATAACGAAGTCAACGGGAATCGAAAATCACTTCGCTATACCCGCTATTTCGTTATAACCGACTTGGGTTATAACGAAGTGAAAAAGGGAATGGAAAATCGTGACCGCTTCGCTGTAGCCGCTATTTCGTTATAACCGACTTCGTAACCGGTCTTGACAGTCGTAGTCACGTAGAGATTGAGCGAGTTAGTGTTTCTTGTTGTTGTTGTTTTTTTTAACTCGGGGGTTTTGAAACTTGTCCTAGGTCAAAGTGTTTACTGAGTATTTTGATATAATTGTGTGAATAAAAGTGAGGTAGTATTCATAGTAAAAAAGGGGGCTGTCCGGCAGACTGGCATACTAGCGGCGCGACCGCGGTCTAAACGTTCCGTGCTTCGATGCAGCGATCCGGGTGATGCTTCGGGGCAAGGCGCACGCCGAGTGGAAGGTGCTGGTCAGCGGAGACAGGAGGACGGTCAAGGACGACCAGGTGTTCATCGACGACCGCGCCATCATCTGGGGAAAAGGTACGGCGCGCACCGGTTCTCGATCCCTGTCCCCCTGCGCAGGCTTCCGACCGACGACGGTGGCCTCCACGGCATCGCGCTAAGACGGGCTTTCTTACTAATTGCTTAATCATGACTGCGGTGCTTTACGTGCGGCGTGGCACGTCACCCATTGACGTTCTCGCGGCAGTGGTTGTGCCGCGGTATTTTGGTTTTCTTAAATTTTGTTTAGGCAACGCGTTTTGGTCCGCAGCACCGGGGCAAAAGACGACCGGAAGGCCTCGGTACTGCTTCGTCAAAGAAATACAAAAAGAGTCGGTATAAACTGTCGACAGAAGAACGGCAATTATTATGATGCTCCAATAGAATACATACGATATAACTGCTATTAAACAAGGTTTACATTAATAGCAACATGGCAATGCCAAGAACGAAATAGCAAAAAAATATTTTTCCCCTTAATCTAGTTTGTCTTTTTTCCTCGCTATACATCATTAAAGTTTCTTTCAGTACACACTTAAATTTACTGAATGAGATACCAGAACTGATGTAGGTGAATCTATAAGCACGAGTTTTGGCAAAAAAAAAAAAAAAGAACAGAAAAAAACAGGCCCAGCAGTGCGAGATACAAGATATAAAGAATGTAGGTGGATCTATGGGCACAAGTTCTGGAGAAAAAGAAAACAGAAACAGGCCCTGCAACTGTCCTTCACTATCACTTTTTTTCTCCCTATATTTCCTTTTTTTCTACCATACCGATTCTTTCTCTTTTTGCATCTCCATCTGCCTGCACCCGTGAGCAGATCCAGCAGATTCGAGCTTGCGTGGTATGATCTGTTAGCAGCAGCGCCAACCAGGTTTTTACCGTTTTCCTTCCTGTGCACAGGAAAAAAGAAATGTTTAGGCTTCTATTTTTGTTTAAAACCCACACTCATTAAATTACGGTATAATAAATGCACCACCCAAATACACATATGTGAAACATGTCAATGCACTATAGTCAGTTACAGGTCAAGAAGGTAGCGGCAAATGCCCCTCAAAGGGAATCACATATCCCTCCGCCACCTCCGCATCCAATAGCGTTCCACCGTTTCCGTGACGTTGCGGCCAACGCGCGAGGAGGGTCTTGCCTTTCTGTACATATTTGCTTTATTTTTCGAATCTGACTTAACACTGTGGAAGCCACGGGAGGGAGATTAGAGTTCTGCCCCACCGACGGAAACAAATGCGACTTTCGGGGATTAGCTTCAACCCCCGGTGGATACAAAGGCTGCTTTCAGGGGCTCGGTTCCCTCTACGATGAATACAAAGGTCGCTTTCTTAAAAAGTGGGATCGGAGACAAGTTGGAATCTATTGAAGCGGAACAAGGAGCGTTTCCAGTGAACTCTTCTTTCGACTGCGGAGAGATTTGAAACGGGCGCATCACACTTGTGGGAGGAGCTTCTCCTACCTTCTTGACTTGTAACCGACTATAGTCTCCGTACATCAGTTTATTTATACAAATTTGTTTTTTACACCAAAAAAGCACTTGAGAACACCCTGTAATGGCTTGCACACGACGTCATCACATCGGGCTTGTGGTCATTCCTACTTGCTATTTCATAGAAAAACATTCGGTGGTGCGAAATGTTTGCTACAAAAGGTATGCACTCAGCTGCATGGCCACCACAATGGCCGATGAGGCGACGTCAGTGCAGTGCATGTATTGATTTCCGACGCCTGAACCGCCGACATTCTTTCGTACAGACAAGGTGGACGGCAGCCTGCCCATCCTCCCGAGGGGTCAGCACGCCTTTGGGTTCCGGTTCCAGCTTCCCGAGAGCTCGCTGCCGTGCTCGTTCGAATCGCGGCCCTGCACCGTACGCTACTACGTCAAAGTCACCATGGACATACCGTATGCGTCGCCTCCGCAGGGCATGAAGTACTTCACCATCATCGGACCACACATTGACTGCATGGAGGAACAGTATCTCGTACGTGCTTCCTGATTCCATTGAATCGTCTTACGGCAAGAGCATTTATTTCTTTTTATGATGGGTAAGTGTCTGGCAACATTGTCCTTGTGGTCAGGCAGCCCTTTGAATAGTTCCATTCTCGTGTAGCATCGCAGTTTCGAGATGCAGTTAAAGGGGCCCCACAACAGTATCTGAACTTGCCCTCTTGTTTGTGGTTTCTAGCTTCATAGGGATTTGGACAACTCGGGGACAAGGAGGAAGTTGCAAAATATTAGCGCACCATATTTTAATCGAACGACACGGAAATACCTGAACCTGCTGTGGCGACACATGGTGTTGAAAGCGTACAAATCATGATCAACATCACTTGAAAGAACTTTGTGATAGGTATAGAGCCGTCAAAATGAAGTTTTAGAAGCGAAATAAATATTATAATTCAACAAAACATCTCAATGCTCTTTTTTTTTTTATTAGGGTTAGGGTGTTTTTGAGTATTTATGAGAAACGTCGTTATACAGAAGAACTGTAGCGTCCACGAGCAGCTCCTTGCCCCAGGTTAAGTCGTCGATGGAAGACAGTGAACGACTGACCGAGTTTGAGGGAGGCAGTTTGCCTTCCGTTGAGCCTTGCGCAGGTTTACACATTCAAGTATGACAATGCCCAGCTTTGCACTCTTTTCGAAAATGCGGAGCTGAAACTCCGACAGGCAACTGCAAAGGTCTAAAGCAGGCAGGCTTAGCAATGAAACGAAGAGTCAGAGATGGGCAAGTGGCTTCAGAGAGGTCGCCTACCCATTGTCAAACCTCTCTTTTTGTGGGATATTTGAAGGGAAACTGACAGGGTATTTATGCTCGCCAAGATTTTTATTTGTACATGACATATCACAGCCCAACTACCCAGAACACAATTTGCGGCTCGAAATTTGTTTTCTTTTCGCCCAAAAACCATCCATCGAGAACTTGAGTAGCGCTCACTCTCATCTCCGTGGTAATGTGCCATTTTCTATGGTTTAGACACAACCACCAAATATAATCAGTCATGGGTCATTGAAGGCACACTCTTAGTATTAAAAATAGAAAAGAATTATGACACCCAATTTTTGTGGCTTCTAAAAATCCGCAAATATGTTGATTAAAAAAAAGTTGCACAGCCACGTGACTTCTGTTAACTCTCTCCTCCTCTATATTTCTTCTTCCTCCATAATCGAGCTTCGGTTTCGGTTTCGAGCAGTTGCGTTTTTTTTACTTAATTAAAAATATATGTGACCCAATAGCGAAATATTGATTGGGTAGTCTTCTGACACCATAATAAATCGCCTGGCAAAAAATAAAACAAATTTTGGAGGCTGTCAGTGCCCATTTAGCAGTGGTTCTTAAATCCCTGTTGGGTGATGTCTCATTCGTGGAAGGTTTCTCAGCGATGCAAATAACCACATGGGAAATGTCATTTGTGGAACAGTTCACACCAGTGCTTAACGACAAGCTGGCGGAGGATGTCCGTCGGCAAGATGTTCCACAGCATTTCCAAGTCCAAGCCTTTACCTTATCTCTAGACCCCATCCAACAGGTGCCGAGTAGTTCTCGTGACATTCTGTGTAGCCTCTTCAAAGAGTTTGACGAGTGCAAACAGACGGGTTATGTGTGGCTTGCTGTGTGTGCTTCCAGAAACCGCTTGTGGGCCAGGACAAGCGCGCGGTGTGCTGCCTGTGCTGCCAGAGAGGGGTGGTGAGCCTGCGGAGCGCCCTGGAGCGCTCCGCCTACTGCTGCGGGGAAAGTCTCCGGCTCAAGGCCGACATCGACAACCAGAGTGAAGAGGAGGTTCGGCTCAAACTCAAACTCGTTCAGGCGAGTTGTCCAATGTCACATTTTTCCCAAAAGGAGTGAGGGAGCAATGAGGGATCAGAGACTGATGAGATATTAAAAAAGCTGTTTACTTATGTACAAGCAAAAAGAAGTATGTACATAAGGGTGAGAGTAAGAAATTCAATGCAAAAAAAAAGTAAATGGATGGAAGTCTCCACAAAACATAATACACCCTCAAAACCCAAAGACACAGGTACTGTGTGCTAGCTGCTGGTCTCTAAACAGTTACAACACTGTCACTGTCTAATTAGTTTGGAAGAAGAGCAGTTCGCATACACTTACACGACCAAAAATCCCATCAACGGTAACCACTCCTTGGGACGAGGCCAAGGCTTCTGGATGCTCGCGGGACTTGTTGCTCAGACTCGACGAAGGGCTCCCAAGGTTCCTTGGAGCGGAGCCAAGGGGCCTGGGCATTGCGGGATGTGCCGTGCTGTCGCGATGAAGGAGCTGACCTGCCTTGGACCGGGGCCAGGGGGTCGTCCAGGGGCGAAAAACTAAGTGCCGGAGCTTTTCCTTCTGCGCACCGTTTCTCTCGGCAAACAGAACCCAACTCGCGCTCTTGCAGTCCTCGCAGTTGCACCCCCACAACTCTTCACGTCTTTTCCGACTTTCTTTTTTTGTTTTTGCACTGACGAAAAACGTGCCATCCACCTTATTTTTTCTGTACTTCATTCCACCATACGTCGGAGCGTAGTCCGAGGCCAGTGACGTACCAACTTGCTTTTGAGTTAGGGGGGCAAACCAGCCCCCCCCCCCCTTCCAGGGACAGGGGGCGGTGCCCTTGGTATCCTTTGGGAGCTGCCCGCCAGTGTTTGCCCTGCCCAGTAGTGGCTGTTTCAGGGGGGGGGCAAAACACATGCCTTGCCCCCCCGGTTGGTACGCCCATGTCCGAGGCCAAAGGGCACACAAACGCAACAGACTAAAAACGCAGGGTAATGTCATGTTTCCAGCATTTGATCGCTTGATCCATGGATGATGCAGACGCGAAAAAACAATGAATACTGCGACGTTGCACTTTTAGCACTGCTTTATTGGTTCAGTCAGCTCGTAACATTGGCTGCATTCTGGCTCATGTTGAAATAAAGTATATGGTGGCAGTTGTGAGACAAAGGCAATAGCCACCATCACTGGAACCTGATACAGCATACTAATGCAAAAACAGACAATCGAAATTGGTGACTGTATATGGCAAACTCAAATTTCCCTCAAATACTATGTATGCTACTGGTTCATTTGGAGTCTGAACTTCTAAGCGTCAACCCCATTTGCAGGCGCGTACGACATGCGCATTCCAGGCAATATCTTTGAAGCCTTTAGGTGTGTCGGAAACCTTTCAGTTAGAGAAGTGGTGCTTTCTGGCGGCCTATGACAGAATGGCAAATCCTGTTTCATCTGCTCTTATCAACAACAAACAAGACACGTAAAATGGGTTGTGCTGATACCAACAATGAGACCGATTCGCTGGCTTCTCCAGCACCCTGCTAGTACAGTGCAATTCACAAGTAACGAAACCGCCTATAACGATGTACTGCTTATAATGATCAGTTTCTAGAGTTTCTAGACTAGAAACAATCAGTTTCTAGCCCAGATACAATGATAATCAGTTATAATGATTGAATTTTGGAGGTTTCTCATTATTTTTATAACTGGATTGCACTGCATACAAATGCCCAGATTTCACAGCGCTGCTCTTTTGAAGACTCACAAACCTTTCAGAAGTGCTGATAAGGTGAACAACTTGAAAAACCGTAGTTGCCAGTGGGATTCAAGCCTTGGTTCAACCGGGCCAATAACAAACCGAACCATTCCTAGCGCAAACTAAAACCAAATTTGATGCTCAAAGGCCTACTTGCACCAAGATTTCGGGCTCTCAAATATGAGATACAGCTCTGGGAAACGTGTCGACGCGTATCCACTTGCAGCACGTGGAGTTCTTCATCGACCGGGGTGTCCTCGGGGTGAACCGGGAGGTGTCGCACACGGTGCTCGAGTACCGGGGAGACCAGATCCCACCCCACACACGGCACAAGTTCGACAGCTCCAACAGCCTCGTGGTGCCAGTGATGCCCCCGACGCTGGTGGGCGTCTGTCGGCTGCTCCAGATGTACTACGTCCTCAAGGTATGCCGTGTGAATGGATGGATGGATCGGTGGATGGATGCTGACAACCTTACCCTTCATAGCGAGCGGCAGCTTGCATCACCTAGCCTAGAGAACCCTGCGCCTTCTTCCGAAGGCCCAGGGGAAGGCCCAGGGTTCCTGACATTAGTCACTAACAAAGATGAAAACTGCGGGGTGTCTCTTTCAATCGCCCGGCGTCCAGCACACCCTCGTTGCTTTCCGTCGTGTATTGGCTGTGTGTGCTTGCTCGAGGATCTTGAGACACCGAAGTGTTGTAGCAGGTAGGGAACTCGCACTGGAGGCGGGACAACTGAAAGACCCCCTTGTCGTTCTCGCGTTGTCAGTTAGTGTAACGAAAAAGTTGGTTTTGCTCTGGCTTGGTTAATATTGCCAATAAAGAATGGCCCAAAAAAGATGACATTTTGCCAAGGGACTCTGGTTTGGCTCAGTGGTGTTGCCAACGTCTCCTACAAAAACCCTGGCTTTGTACCCTCTTGGTTTGAGAGAGGAGGAAAAGAAGATTTTCTGCATGACAGAAAATCAAGCTTGTGTGCCAACTCCCTAGCGGTATTTGCATGAAAGAAAGACCTGGGATTTTTCCCCAGAGCATGCGTCACATCACGCAAAATGTTGTGGTTTTGCAATACAGCCCCAGTGTGTCAGCTCTGCAGTGGAGGGATGCTCAGGTGTACAAACAATCTGGGTTTGGCAGTGTATCAGTTGGCTTTACACAATATCCTGAGGCTATTGTACTCGAAAACAACCAAGCTGAATTCCGCGATCTTTGCAAGGCACATCTTAAAAGTGTTCTTGGTTAGTCAAACTGTCTATTCCAATAGTTATTTCTTACAACTTGTTTGAGTTTCTTATATTTCTTTCCATTATATGTATCCTGATCTGAATTAATCTTAGCCATTATTCAGCAAACCTCACTATTTATATTTGTCTTGAGAATTTACTCTTGTTTGTTTCTAAATGTTTGTTTATATTTCTTGACTCCCCCCTCATGTAATACACTTCAGGAGAAGTGCCTCTGAGGTATTAATAAATTAAATTAAATATGATGTTGTTTAAAAGCTTTGTCGTCGAGTGTAGGAACCACTAAATTTGCCCGCTGTGGTGTCAAGAGTGGAAACCGTTGAATTCGTCTGCTAGCGCCGACATCCCCGTCGTTGGCACGCACTGCTGGCATCATGCAAATCCCTCCACAGATTGTGTAAATACCACTTTAGTGATAGAAAATGGAGCAACTGACCTTCACACTTTGCACCGCTGATGACACTAGTAAATCCAGGAGTCTTGGTGGATAATGAGGCTTTGTGAATAACCGAGAAACCGACGCATTCTCTTCAGGTGTGGATCGAGATGGAGAAATCGGGCGACGACCTCATGATGAACTTCCCCATCACCATTGCAACGTGTCCATTCCGGATCCCAAACTCCAAGCAGGAGCCCAACATCGACTATGGTGAGCCAACGTTTTTTTCTCGTATTGCTACATATAATTAACTAGACTTTGTTTCACCTTAGCATGTACCGCAGTGAAGTCAACAAGTGCGAGATTCTTGTTCTAGGACACACCTGGGATGCACAAACCTTCGTGCCAAAGCTACGAGCTTGAGTATCTAGCCTATGCCACAGTACATCTTCGAGTGAAACCAAGTGCGGTGTAGCCGAGACATGGGAACAAGCTTCACACTTATAGACCCCTCTAAAAAAATCTGGCAACAACAAAAATCCGCTGAACGAGTCTAACAACATTGGGTGGCCGACAAGGTACAATGACGCAGCAAGGTGGATTACGACCAGCAAGGTGGATTATGCACCAGCAAGGTGGAAGGTGCCGGTAGCCCTTTCCCCTCTTCTCTCTCGCTCTCAGAATGGCTCTACCCACGATGAAACGGTCTATAGGATAGGTGGTTAACCTATTTTATAGATTCTGGCGATTTTTTGAGCTACCGAAATGTATTTTCTGAATACCCGGCGGTGTCTACCCTTTCCTGTACACTATTTAGTATTGCGAAATTCAAAATAGCGACATCGCCAAACGAAAACAGTACAAAAACCAACATTCAAATATACCCACACTTTTCAGTGCCATGACACTAGTGGAAGACAGGCTTGCCAGTCGAGCAAGCAGTCTAAAAAATAGACTATACCAAGCATTTGTTCTGTGCTGGTGTGCAGGCACTGGAGTGAGCTTCCAAATCATTCATCTGACACCATGAAACTGCTTGGAATCACTGAACAAATTCCACACTCCAAGAGTGAACCCTTGCCTTCTGCTGGTGTCACATTTTCGCTGTTGCCAGTAGAAACTTTCAGTTTGAAGAACACTGTGAGGCCCAAAATTGTAAATTCAATAACCTTGCAAGACATATATATCTTAACCTAATATTTAGGATACTATTTCAGCAATGTTTGTTGGTGTGTTTAGCAAATTTTCAGGCAGATATGAAGAAATCGCCACAGCACCCCTTTAAGCACTCCCTATTGTTTTGTCAAATGTCCTCGCAAAATTTGGGATCCTGCGAGTTTCTGCCACGGTTCCAACGGGCCCGTCACCCTAACCCTGAACTTTACAAAATAAGTCATGCCACAGGACACAGCCCGAGACTCAACTCCATTGAGTGTGCCCGTTTAAGAAACCTCACCAAAGAGACTCTCTTTGAAGGTTCTTCGACAAGGCATTCATGCCCATCTACTGGGTAATTCAAAATTCAATTTCTTAACCTATCGTGCCACGACTTTGTGCAGCGTTGCCCACAGATGGTGTATCTTTTTGTAAATTTTGCAAAGTGCGAACTTACCTGAGGAAAAAGTAAAGAAAGAAAATGGCTTAGCTTCTATGGAAACGCAGTGAAGCCACCGGTCTTTAAACAATACGGCGCTGCTTCGCACGGGAGACAAAAGACTGCGCAAGCGGTCGCGATGCCAACTGCCGCCAACGAACGAGCATACAGCGCCGAGAGCTGGCGTCTTTAGCAGACAATCGTTTAGACTCAAAAGCGGTGCACGTTCCGCAGGTGGCGACTGTCGCAGAAACAAAAACAGGCGCGGTAACAACAAAGAACTGCAAAGCAGACGACATCAGCACCCCTAAAAAGACAGTCAAAATATCCCAACAAACCATTTTTTAATCCATTATCTATTCATTCAATATGCTTTCTTAGTAAGGATGATAAAATAATGCATTGGCAACTGATATCAGAAAAGCTCACGCTGCTTTTGAGTCGAAACAATCGTCTGCTAAAAACGCCAGCTCTCAGCGCTGTATGCTCGTTCATTGGCGGCAGTTGGCGTCGCGACCGCTTGCGCCATCTCTTGTCTCCCGTGCAAAGCGGCGCCGTATTGTTTGAAGACCGGTGGCTTCGCTGCGTTTCCATAGGAGCTAAGCCTTTTTCTTTCTTTACTCTTTCCTCAGGTAAGTTCGCTCTTTGCAAATTTTACAAAAAAAATGCACCATCTGTGAGCAACGCTGCACAAAGTCGTAGCACGATAGATTAAGAAACCGAATTTTGCAGTCGATTTAAAGAGCCTGGCCACTCCTTGAATCACCCAGTAGATAACTACAGAAACATGACCCACCAAGGCACCAGTTGCCGAGAAAAATGAATTCGGCTCGAGATCTGAATTTTCTTCTACAAGAGGGTGCTGCAAGGATGGGCCCCTCAGGGGTGTCTCCACTCCCTTTTCGTCTGTCAGGTGCAACGACGATGCAGAACTTGAAATATTTGCCCCGAGAGGCATATCAAAATTAATAAGGCACGCAGGCTGACCAAAATGCATCTCACATGAGAGGAGGCACACAATTAAGTGAGAGGAATTTATCACGTGTGTGACCGGGCCCCACCCCAGCAGGTGGCATTCGTTTTCCTGGGTAAACAACATCTCGGACAGGAGCTCTTTGTTTTTTGTACCGTCTCCGGCAGTTTTGTTAGGCAACAAACAATTTAGGGAGCATAAAGAATCTGCCCTTCAATGCATTTGCCCTTCACTTTCATAAAAACCAAATCCTTGTTCATGAAAAAAAGAAAAAAAAGAAACTGGCAGGGTTTTGACAGCTGCAGAAAAGGCAAGGCAGACATTGTGACAACTAGCAGACGACACCACTGTGATGTGGCAGTGCTGCAGCCACCAGCACCCACCCAAAGTAATCCTCAAGTCAAAGCTCGATACTATGATGTCACTGTAACCCTTGGTGTGAGGAGCAGATGAACTTCCTCACCATACAAAAATAGTTGAATTCCGCAATTTCTGTAATCCCCAAAACACTAAAAATATGCTGCCTAAAAAAAAATATATATATATTGTGCGCATGGTTGGGGATTGAAGCAGGCCTCATGACTTTTGAGTGTTGCCGGCTTCGGCTTCAAGCCAATGATATGACTGCAGCGAAAGAACTAATGGTGGAATCTAGAGACGTACCTGCCAACCTGCCTATTCCAAAATATGTAAAACTCCCGCAGCAGGTGCAGTAGGGTGATTTCAGATAAGATCGACCAAAGGGTGGCTGGTCGACATTTTTAAATCAACTGATGTTTTTATATGACATTGTCTAGTGTCTGGTATAAACGAATCCACTCTTAGTTTTGACCAGAAAAAAAATTTGGAGACAAGAAAAATCGTAAGGCAGGGAGAGGTGGACAGTTGCAATAACGCGCACTGATGGAGGGGACAAGTTTGAAAGTGAATAATTAAAACAATAAAATTAGGAGAATTTTAAAACTTTTTACAAACAAACTATGGGTACAACTTGCTTGTAATATAAAGTAATAATATTTATTAAAAATTTATTTAGTTTTCTAAAAATTGTCAAACATGCCTGCTCGAACGACAAATGGCAAACTTTGGAAATCTGTATCTCATGAAATAATTTAATCATTATTACATAACTTGCAGACATTATTTTACTAATATATGGCTATTATTGAAAAAATAAATAAGGTATCTGAGTGACACAATAGTTACAATATATTTAGGCAAACATGGGAAACAAATCAAACAAAGAAAAATTCCATTGCGAATAAAAAAAAAAACACCACCTTCGATTTTTTTTAAATTTGGGTACCCTGTTATACTCTATTTCGGCATTCATTTCTATTAAAAACATGTTGCATCATTGCACTGTGAAAGAAGAAACAACTCCCCAAAGTAGGGTCCTTTTTCAAAGCCTACACTTAGCAGTGTCCTATACAAGAAGTGACTCTGAGTTCCAGTTTCATGAAACTTGCACAAATCTTTTATATACATTTATTCAGATGAGGTCATTGATAAAAAGAGTGATCAATCACACAGTAAAAGGGAGGAGAAACTATATACAGCATTTTACATAAGCGTACAAAGTGGTATCATATTAGAGACTAATGATTTGAGAAAAGATGATGCAGTGTGAAGTTGTACCTTCCGGTATATTTTACATCTAGAGTAAAATAAATAACTTTACTTCCACACACAAAAACAAAGATATAATAGTAAGATATTTAGGTTGGCTGTGTATTTACGATTACAAACAATTTCAGGTGACGGATGCCATAGTGCCTAACTGGAGCAGCTTCGATGCTCTCGGTGTATGAATGAATCATGGCAAGCCGATATATTTTATCCTGCTCGAGGATAACATTTTGGGATTTTTTTTATAGTGATCAGATAAAAATTATTAGTAACCACCAACAAAAACAGTAGGTTAAATACCCCGTGAAGAAAAATGTGATAAATAAGATGTCCCTGCATTCAAAATGAGCAGTCCTTGGGAAATCGAATTCGGCACTTTATGCTAAGGTTTTCCTCGCTGTACCCATTTAATAAAGTTGCTTCCAAGCAGATCCGACTGTCCGTGCTACATATACGTCATAAGTCCCTTCTGTTGATGACTTGCTGAGCCGCCACGCGTGCCAAGACTGAATGCCAGGGAAGGCGCGCACCGTCAGCCACTCTTCTTTTTTTTGTTCACGATACCGAACAACCTCATTTTCGTCCAGATATACAAGATGCACGCCTTTCAGTTTCTTTGATAGAACGCTCACCATTGTCCTGGCCGTCTGAATTGCGCTTACTGAACGTTCTCTCAGGTTGTTCAGTGTGGCCTGGTGCTTCACGAGTCCGCCAACTCCGTCACATGCATTTTTCCCATGTCCAGATGCAGAAAATAACCACTGGGCTTGTGGGCAATCGTCCTTTGCAAATTGGTGAAGCTGGTAGCGATTCTTGAAATGACTGGCGGCGCCGTCATTTACGTACGTCACGTACGAGTATACCGCAACATTGTCTTCAACCCACTCCTTCACTTTTTCTAGAGCCAAGCAAGCGTGAGCGGCGTCGTGACACAGGTCCTCACTGATGATGACAAAGCTGTTTGTAGATTTTCTTGTCGACTCGTCACTACACATGTAAATATCGAAACTTGTTTTTTTTTCCAGTGATATGCTTGCACTTCGTCAGGAAGCACGATGGTCCAGTTTTCAGCAA